GACAGACCTGTATGTTCTCTTTGTGGCCTATGGTATGTTCAATACTCTTCCCCAGCACCACAACTCAAAGGCATTGATTCTTCTTCTATAATCCTTAGTCATTGCCCAGCTCTCTGATGCATAGCAAGTAATTGCGAAGAACATGGCCTGGATCAGGTACACCTTAGTCTCTAGACTCACATCATTGCTCTTTAGCACTTTGGAGATGTCTCTAACAACACATTTTTCCCAATTCAATATAGTTTAAGGAATAGAAATAGAAAGAAAGGGAACATGTATGGCCATGTTTGGGTTTTTTTTTTTGACATTTCATCTTTTTTATTATTAATTTTAATGAAAGTTTACAGAGACTTTTGATTTACATTCATTTTTGCATTTTTCTCCCTGACCACTCATCCCCTGCTAGTTCGCCCTTCTCTTTGAAAAGTAAAAGAAAAATTATTTCATTTTTATGCAATCCCTCCCCTAAGTCCACTCCACTATGCAGCCTTTACTCTGGACTCCTGTCATGATAATAATACCTAATCATATATCACTTTTAAACAGTTCTCTCCCTCATCCGTTTCAATGAAGTATACATTATTTGTCCCCTCTTTCTCAGTCTCCCCTCAACCCCAATGTCAGTCCCATTTTATAACAGTGGCACTATGCAATATTTGTTCTTTTGTGACTGAGATATTTCACTCATCCATTTTGTATAATATTTCATGAGTTCGCTGTTTTTCAATGCAGTGTAGTATTCCATTGTGTGAATATGAATATACCAGAGCTTCTCTATCCATTCGTTTGTTGATGGACACTTGGGCTGTTTCCAAATCTTTGGTATTGTGATCAATGCGGCAATAAACATGGGTGTGCATATATTTGCTTGGGTGGCAGTTATGGTTTCTTTAGGGTATATTCCACGTAGTAGAATTGCTGGGCCAAATGATATTTCTATTTGCAACTTTTTGAAAAGTGTCATACAGCCTTCCATAGTGGTTGCACCATTTTATATTCCCACCAACAGTGAATAAGGGTTCCAGTTTCTCCACAACCTCGCTGGCATTTGATGCTTGCTGTTCTATTAAGTTTAGCTATTCTGACTGGGGTGAGATGATATCTCATAGCTGTTTTTATTTGCATCTCTCATAGAGTTAGGGATTTTGAACATTTCTTCATGTGTTTGTTGGCCATCTGAATGTCTTCTTTGGTGAAGTGTCTGTCCATATCCTGTGTCCATTTTTTAATTGGGTTATTTACCTTTATCTTGTTGTGTGAATGGCCATGTTGTTGTTGTTGTTGTTGTTGGTAGGTGCTACTGAGGCAACTATGACTCATAGCTACTCTATGAACAACAGATATGAACCTTGCTCAATCCTGCACTATCTTCACCATCTCTGATAGGGTCGAGCCCATTTTTATAGTTACTGTGTCAATCCATCTTATTCAAGGTCTTTCTTTCTCTGACCCTCCACCTCACCCAGCACGATGCAATTTTCCAAGGACTGACACTTCCTGACAAAATGCCCAAAGTATGTGAGATCAAAGTTCACCAAGCTTGCCTCGAAGGAGCGGTTGTTCCCCTGAGACAGACTTAGATTATTTTGGCAGTCCATAGGATATCAAGCACTTTCCCCCAACATCACAATTCAAAGACATTTTCCTTCTATCATCTGTATTCGTTGTTTGACTTTCAGATTCGTAGGAAGTAAGTGAGAAGATCATGACTTGGATCAATTGTAATCTTCTTCTTTGAAGGAATATCATTGTTCTGTAGCATTTTGGGGAGTTTCCTGACAATAGATCTTTCCAATGCAATATATCTCTTGATTTCACGACAGCTGTTCCCATGCATGTTGGCTCCAAGTAAAATGAGATCCTTGACAATTTCACCCCATTCTCCACCCATCACGATGTTGCTTATCAGTCCAGTGGTGAGGACTTATGTTTTCTTGATGTTGAGATGTAATCCATACTGAAAACTATGGACCTTGGTCCTCTGCAGCAAGTATTTCAAGTCCTCTTTAATTTCTGCGAGCCAAATTGTGTCATCTGTGTAGGGCGAGCTGTTGATGAGTCTTCTTCTAATCCTGATGTCACATTCTTCTTCATTTGATCCAACTTCTTGTACTATTTTCCCAGCATACAGATTGAATAGTTATGGGGGAAATTACACTTCTGATACACATCTTGCATGATTTAAAATCCTACAATGTTACCTTGTTCAGTTCAGACAATTGTTTCTTGGGTTATGTATGGATTTTTGCATGAGAACAATTAAGTGTTCTGATATTTTTCTTTTTCCCAGTATGGTCATAAGTTCACAGATCTTAATGAGCCCATGGGTGTTTATTGTATTATTGTGTTATAGTCACATTTAGGAGGCAGGGAAATATGCTTTTTCAGAAAAAACAGATGGCTGGCAGTGTAGACCTTACCTATGACCATTTTACTTCTCCCATGAGCTCTCCTTAGAAAAGTCAATGGAAACGAAGAAAGAAGTTCAAGCTGCAATGAAGGCACTGGCAAAAAAAAGGGCCTCAGGAATCTATAGAATTCCTATTGACATGTTTTAATGTATCATGCAGTCCTGGACACGCTCACTGGTTTATTGCCAGGAAGTTTGAAGGGCAGCTACTTGGATGACTGATTGAACGAGAGTCATATTTGTTCCCATTCCCAAGAATGGTGATTCAACAGAATATGGAAATTAATTGAACAGTATCATTAATATCACATGCAAGCAAAATAGTGCTGAGATCATCCAAATATGGCTGGAATAGTACATTGATAGAGAACTGCTAGAAGTTCAAGATGTGTTTAAAAGAGGCCAGGGCATCAAGGATATTATTGCTGATGTCAGATAGATCTTGGCTGAAAGCAGAGAATGCCAGAAGAATGTCTGTTTGTGTTTTATTGACGACGCAAAGGCATTTGACTGTATAGTCATAACAAATTATGTCTAACACTCAGAATAATGAGAATCCTAGAACACTCAATTGTGCTCATGGAAACCCTGCATTTAGACCAAGAAGCTGTTGTCCAAACAAAGCAAGGCAGCACTGTTGTTGTTGTTAAGTGCCGTCGAGTCGCAGGCTACTCATAGCAACTATATGTATAACAGCCCTAAAACCTGCTCTATCTTGTGCCAATCTTATTGTCTCTAACACACCTACTCTCATTACCCCAGTCACGGAATCAATCCATCTCGTTGAGCGTCTTCCTCTCATGCACTGTCCCTCCACCCTCCCAAACATGATGTCCCTCTCCAAGGACTGGTCCCCCCTTACAACATGTCCAGAGTATGTCAGATGAAGCTTCAAAATTCTTGCCTCCAAGAGCAGCCTACTTTAACCCTCTCCAGGATGACCTGGCTCATTCTCTTAGCAATCCATGATATTTTCAATACTTTTCTCCAACACCACAGCTCATAGACATCAATTCTCCTTCTACCCTCCCTCATCATTGTTCAGCTCTCTCCAGCAGGAACTAATTTTGGCTTGTTGCATTGTGAAGAAGATGGCTAACTCTTCCTGTGTGAACTTTTTCATGTATCCCCCTTGAAAATCTCCCCATCTATTACACTAAAGACCTCTGCACACGCATTCACTCTGCCCTCAAATCTAAATGTGATGAATATGTACAACCCTCCAGCAACCCATAAAAATGTCATGCCTCCAACCTCCAGCAAGTTTGAATATTATCCATTTCCTGGTTCCTTTTTTACTGCTCAGCAATGAATTTACTTCCTATATCTCAGAGAATGATGTCCATGATTTTACCTGTTAGCATGCTGGACAGAAGACCTAATTCTCCAGTATCGATTTTCTAAAGGCTCTGGTTTCACTTCCTGGTAAAGAGAAAAGACTATATAACCTTCAGTATTGTTTATACAGGGAACTCAGGTGGCCTAGTGGCAAGAAGCTGCACTGCAATCCCCAGTGCACACAGTTTGAGTCCACCAGCTCCTCTTTGGGAGAAGGATGGGAAATCGCTTCCTGCACGTTTAACTGCCTCTGAAAACCCACTGGAGGGTCAGGTATGGGTTGGTTCCAAATTCATGGTATACAGCAACAATTACTTATACTCCAACATGAAGAAAATGGATAAAAACCCCAACCAAACAAAACCCTTACAACTGGATCAAAAAGTAAAATAATAATAAATGGAGAAAGAAAATTTAAGTTGTTAAATATTTCTTTCACCTGGATCCACAGTCAACACCCACGGAAGCAGCAGTATGGAAATCAAATGACACATTGCACTAGGGAAATCTGCCTCAAAGGACCTCTAAAGTGCTTAAGAGTAAAGATGTCACTGTGAGGACTAAGATGAGCCTGACCCAACCTGTAGTATTTTCAGTTGCCTCACATAAACACAACAGTCTGGCAATAAACAAGGAAGACTACAGAGGACATTTTTATTGGGAACTCTGGTGGTTTAGTGGTGAGGAGATAAGCTGCCAACCCAAAGGCAGGTGACTAGCATTCACCAGCTGTTCTGTGGGAGAAAAATGGCCAGTCTCCTCCTGTGCAATTTACTGCCCTTGAAAACCTGCCAAAGGGTCTGCTGTGAGTTGATTCTGACTTGATGGTACAAACTACAAAGAATTGATATGATACATGTGAGTTAGTATGTTGATGAAGAACACTAGACTGTCAGAAAAAATGAACAAATCTATCTTGGAATAAATAAAGGCAGAATATTACTGGCAGAATATTACTTAGAAGGAGAATTGCAAGACTTTGTTTCACGCACTTTAAAGGTAATAATAGAAAAGGTGAGAGCTCTTTAGTGCGAAGGAGTTGAGCTGCAGATGGTTTGAATCTTCTCGCTGTGAAGGGCAATTTTCTCTCATGGTTCAGCTCTGACTTGGCAGCAATGAGTGAGAGTGACCAGATAAGACCAGGTCTTGGAGAAGGACATTATTCTTGGTAGAGAGTCAGGAAAAAAAAAGAACACTTTCAAAGAGATAAATTGACTTAGTGACTGTCCAATGGGTTCAAACATAGTAACGATTAGGAGGATGGGGAGGATGGGGAGGATGGTGGGGATGGGGAGGATGGGGGGATGGGGAGGATGGTGTAGATGGTGGGGATGGCATCTTTAAAAAACCACTACAAGTTAATGTGCAAGATCTCAGGATATAAAGCCAATAAACAAACAAAAAGTAAATGTGTCTGTTGGCCTAGGGGTAAGAAGCTGCCCTGAAAACCCGAATGCATGCAGTTCGAATCCATCACCTGCTCTGCTGGAGGAAGGTGGGCGATCTTCTCCCGGGCAATTTCCTGCCTCTGAAAACCCACTGGAGAGCAGGATACAGCTCGAGGCAGCTGTGAGTTCGTTCCAGCTCAACAGCACAGAACAACATCGCTACCAACACAGAGGGCACTGCCTCAGGGGGTCGCACTGCCAGCCCGGGCAGGGGGCTCACAGCCCACAGCTGCTCCGTCTGCACAGAGAGGGGTCCTGTGTTCTGTGGACCGACAG